TTGGATGGGTTGGATGGGGTAAATGCAGAGCACTAATTCCGAGTATGGGTCACCATACTTGGCCACATGTCACGTCACTCACGTCACTCACGTTATATAAATTAAAATTATTATTATGAAACACTTCAGAGTTCAGTAGGTTTATAGTAATATTTCTTTGTTTATTTTTTATAATTTGATAAATAAAAATAAAATAAACAATAAGAATAAAAATAATACAAATTTAAATGTGTGTGTTTCCCCAGTGTGTTCTTCCTGTGTGAAAAAAATAAGAAATCAGGAAGGGGGCCAACACTTTTTCACACCACTGTATGTATGTATGTATGTATGTATATATATATATATAATATAATTTATTTGTCAAACTGATTATTGGTCTGTCAGTAGCATTCCCATGTGCATAAATCCAATTTAGTGTCTGGCTGTATCATAAAAACAAACTACGTCTCACAATGAGGCACCTCATGGAAATTAATAGTAAATATTTGTATGCTACTTTCATTTGTTCATTTTATAATCCTCACACAAGAACATTCAGCACACTCATGTCACATTCTAGGAATGTGATGTCGACAGACAAACATGAGAAGGCATTCTGAAAACACTGCGAGGTGGGGGGACCTTCAGTCTGTGGGCATTATTTCAATAACAAAGACACATCTACTGACCAGGACTGGTTCAGCACATTCAGCGCACTTTGTTAAAGGGGGAGCATGGAGTTAGTCATTTCAGAGTGCTGCAGAATGCATTGAGAGAGGGTAGCATTCCAAAAGTGTGAAAGGGCTGGTGACGGCACCACCGCGGACACAATGAGTCAAGCCCAAATAAACGGGTGGGAGTTTCAGAATGCATTGAGCTGTCTCGATGGGGCAAAGAGGTGTGTCATTAATCACTTGGAGAAGACATCTCATCATTCACATTCACCGCACTTGCATTTCTTTTGCTTTCTGGCTCACTGGAATACAGGTTTTGAGGCCAATATAATAGACACAGGGCTAGTATACAGAGTGAACTGAATTCAGCTGTCGATCTTCTAGTTTGGAAGTACCTGTGAGCCTCCTCTGTTTTATCTTCAGTGTGCGTCTTGAGCATTAGGAGATGTCTCATGATGCCTGCAATCAGCCGAAGCTGGTGGTCATTGTCCTATCAAAATAAAGGAAAAATTGTGTGAGTGTTGTTAAACCAAAAGGCTTTTTCACAACAATAGCAGTAGAGAAAGAGTCTGATGCTGATGTTTGGGCTTCATCTACAAATAAACGACCTGAGAGCTTGGAGCCAATTGAGAGATTTAGGGACTGAGAGAACCACTGGCTTGAGAAAAGAAAGTGCATCTTGCGTCAAGGTGATCCCGACCATACCGAAACCAACAAAAGGTCAGGCAATTGAGACACACTTAGCCTTACTTCAATGATCATTCAAAGGGCTGAGAACACTGGAATGCACCGATGTTTTTTTGTCTATTTGATGAAATGGTGGGGGTAAGAGCTTTTAGCATTTAAAACTAGATTTTTACATTTTCTCAAGAAAATGTGAGTGGTTCTTGGCCATACAAAACACCCGGCCACATATCTATTTCTAGATAGGTTTTGAGCCCTTCCTTCTATGTAAATCAGCGGTCCCACATCCACCTAATTCCATACTAGATAGTATGTCAAATGCAGTACATAAAATGAGCATTATGCATAGATACTTTCATAAAATAGTTGGCAAAATAATATCCTGATGAACTACTACTTTGGCCGAGATTCTGAATTATGCGTCTGTAATTGACCATGAAATGATGTCGTGAGACAGAAGTCGTCATATGGTGGGGAAAAAATTACAGAGAGCAGCAACATGGTTGACATTCTAGATTACATGATTTTATATCTGTTTGGCTGTACTCAAGTATGCACACCTGCATACCTTTAGAAGATTTTTAATTAATGGTTGAAAAGTAAGTTCTCCAACAAATGCAGTACATACTCTGACAATCTGCAAATTAACTGCATGGGATTTTTTTGTTTAATCAACCATGTAAAATCCAAACAGCAAACCTCTCCATCGAAAAGCCAAAGGACTTGAGGTATAATCAAAGTACCTTCCTTTTTAAGGAAAGTAAAACTAATATGCCAGCAAGCTAAAAAAGGCAGCGGGAGTGACGCAATGTCTTTACCAATTAGCGATTGGCACTTTTATTTAGAATGCAGAACGTATCACTTTATTATTCTTTGCACATTCACCTATCCATTTTAATATGAGTGAACTGTCTTACAGCCTTTGGTATAATTCAGGCATCATGATCTTTCAAATTATTAGGTGGCGAAAATTAATACTTAAGTATGAGCAGCAATGGTAATAGTGATGCTTGCTTTAAAGGGGTCATATGATGCGATTTCAAGTTTTCCTTTCTCTTTGGAGTGTTACAAGCTGATTGTGCATAGATAAGATCCCTGAAGTTGCAAAGACTAAAGTCTCAAAACCAAAGAGATATTCTTTATCAAAGTTAAGACTCTGCCACACCCCCCTAAAACGGCTCGTTCTAACACGCCCCCACATATCTACCTCACTATGTGGAAATATTAGCATAATGCTGCCCAAATGTTCACGCAAAGAAAGAAGGCGTGGTTTCAGTAACCGCAGTTAGTGTTGAAGCAGCCATGTCAGAGAGACGCTGTGTGTTTCTAGGCGAAAGCAAAAGCACTTTATTTGGCCTTCCGAAAGTAGATGCATTTAGGAATCTTTAAGATTACTTACAACAGAACAGCAATGCATTTTATGGACGACCGTTTCGTGAACCTAGGAGAGGAGGCAGGGCCGAGCACAGACCTTTTGAGGGGCATGTGCTGAAACTGAAAAAAGGGCACCCCCTAATGACAAATGAAATAACACAAAATAGAGAGAGAGAGAGAGAGAGAGAGAGAGCGCGCTCTGTCGAAGCCTGGGTCTGTATATCATCAACAGTGGGTTACGAGGATACACTTTAGGGAGATTTACATTTTGCTCACCTCCGGCTTGTGTACTGCATCATTACTGTGTCTGTTCCCCTTTCGGGCTTGAACTGATGGTAAAACTAACCCTTTCGGGCTCCGTCTTTACATTTATTTTGAAAGATGAAGCTCACGATTATGGTTAGGGGCATTACATTTCCGATGCGTGCTTGTGGTGTTCGGCCAATCACAATGCACTGGGTCAGCTGGCCAATCAGAGCAGACTGCGCTTGTCGGAAGGAGGGACTTTGTAGAAAACGAAGCGTTTGACAGAGGCGGGGCATAGAGGACCTACAATAATGTACAGTATTTGAAAAATAATGTGTTTTTTGAACATTAAAGCATGTCAACATATTCTGTTACACCAAATACACAAAATAATGATCTTTAAAAAAGCATCATATGACCCCTTTAATAGGTAGCACTACAAATGAAGCTATAACCCATGTAGGGCTGCACGATAAATCGCATGCGATATTTAATGAACCGGCTTTACTGACAAGATGCGCATTAAATATCGCATGCGATTTATCATGCAGCCCTAAACCCATGCAAGCATTCTTTAAAATGTTTCTGAAGTGCTTTGTAAATTTTTAAACACATTATAACAAATAGGTTAACACACTGCTGAATATCACAATAGGGAGATCAGCTTTAAACTAAACCTAGACATCGTGGATATCAAAAAAGTGGTCAAAATGATGCAGAGACATGAGATTCTTGCCAAAGCAGAAGAAAATGAGGCCAAACGATCATTGAAGAAATGATCAATGTCAATGAACCTATGACCTATTTAAAAGAAAGAAATCCTTTCTGTCTTCCTTCACTCTAATGGGGGGTAAAAGCACAGGCTCCACTCAGCATCAATTATTCAACAGCAGTATAACAGGAAACTGAAGCCCTGCAATATCCTATTCTGTTTTTTAGTGTGAGATACACATGCAATACAGATCTTTTAAAATGTACAGTGCCTATAAAAAGTATTCATACCCCTTCATTTTTCTCACATTTTGTTATGTTGCTGCCTTATGTTAAACTGCTTTAAATTACTTTTTTCCCACATCAATCTACACTCCATACACCATAATGGCAAAGCAAAAAAAAAGGTTTTAAACATCTTTGCAAATTTATTAAAAATAAAAAACTTGAATGATTCCATTGCATAAGTAATCATACCCTTATCTGGGACAGCTGACATTTAGCTCAGGAGCATTCATATTGCTTGTAGATGTTACTACACTTTGAGTGAAGTTAACCTGTGGCAAATTCAATTGAATGGGTATGATTTGGAAAGGCACACACGTCTTAATAAAAGGTCTAACAGCTGATAATGCATATCAGAGCAAAAGCCAAGCCCTGAGGTCAAAAGAACTGCCTGTAGGGCTCAGAAACAGGATTGTATCGAGGCACAGATCTGGGGAAGAGTTCAGAAAAAAATTCTGCTTCACTGAAGGTTCACAGAAGCATGTAGTCTCTGTTTCCCTGAATAGAAGAAGTTTAAAACAACCAGGACTCTTCCTAGAGCTGGCCAATTGATGGAGAAGGGCTTTGGTTAGACTGGTGGTGACCAAGAAGCTGATGGTCACTCTAGTTGAGCTCCATGACCATATGTGGTGATAGGAGAAACCTACAGAAGGACAAACATCACTGCAACACTCCACCGATCTGGGCTTTATGTCGGAGTGGCCAAACTCAATCCTCTCCTCAGTGAAGACACATGAAGACACTTGGAATTTGCAAAACAGCACCTAAAGGACCCTCGGACTCTGAGAAACAATATTCTCTGGTCTGATGAACCTCAATTCTAAGCATCATGTTTGAAGGAAACCAGCTCTGGATACTATAAAGACATCACCTGCAGAGTACCATCCCAAAAGTAAAGTGTGCTGGTAGCAGCCTCATGCTGTGGGGCTGTTTTTCAGTGGCAGGGAATGAGGAACTCATCAGAGTTGAAGCTCAATGCACCAAAATATAGAGATAGCCTTAATGAAAAACCAGTCCAGAGCATTCAGAACCTCAGACTGGGCAGAAGGTTCATCTTCCAACAGGACAATGACCCTAAGCACACAGCAAAAGTGGCTTATAGACAACTCTGTGAATGTCCTTGAGTGGCCCAGCCACAGCCTGGGATTGAACCCAATTAAATATTTCTGAAGAAACCTGAAAATGTGCATCTGTCCCCATCCAACCTGACAGAGCTTGAGAGGTGAAGAGTTGAGGAGAGGAATGGCAGATAACTGCCGAATTCTGATCAGCAAAGCTTGTCGTATCATACCCTAAAAAGACTTGAGGCTGTAAAGGTGCTTCAGCTAAGTACTGAGTATGCAATGTGCTTATTTCAGTTTTTTTTTATTTTTAATAAATTTACGAAGTTGTGACAATTCTGTTTTTGCTTTGTCAATATGGTGTATGGAGTGTAGATTGATGTGGAAAAAAAGTAATTCAAAGCAGTTTAACATAAGGCTGCAACATAGCAAAACGTGAAATAAATTAAGGGGTATGAATACTTTTTATTATAGGCACTGTATTAACTGGATTGTTCACCCAAAAATTCTGTCATCATTTACTCACCCTCATGTTGTTCCAAACCTGTATGACTTTATTTCTTCTGCTGAACATAAAAGACGTTATTTTTAAAGAACGTTAGTAAGCAGTTGACAGTAGCCATTGACTTCCATAGTATGGTAAAAAATACTATGCAAGTCAAAGGCTACCCTGAACAAAATATCTTCAGAAGAAAGAAACTCATACAGGTTTGGAACAACATGATGGTGAGTAAATAATGACAATTTACATTTTTGAGTGAGGGCTTTCCTTGGGTTAATTTCTGTGTACTGCACAGGACAAGTAGATGTAAATTCATCTATCAGTTTTGTAAAAAGCACAGTGAAATAGATATAAAAATGTTGTTTTGCTGTTCTACAAATATTGTTACTCTCACCTCATCGCTGGAATCAGACATAGTGATGTTAAACAGAGCTTTAAGGGCTTCCATGGCAAGCTCATTGTTTTCTAAAGAAATGGGCAGGGCTTCTGGTTTAGGGGGCGTGGCCTCATACGGCCCCACCCAAAGGACGTCAAGGGTGCGTTCCAGTATGTCGGTGAGCAGCCTCACTGCACCCGCCTCCTTCTGAAGCATGCCACTCACATCCGTCCGCAGGGCGGAAAGCAGAAACAGCAGCCGGAGGGAGAACAGGCCCACCTCATGATGGGACGAGCTGACCAAATGCAAGCGGGCACACAGGCCCTCTGCCAACTTCACATCAGCGCCCACCTGCTGTGCCGGTACACTGTTAAACACTACATTGCACAGGCACTTGAGGGCCTCCACTACAACCCTCTCCTCCCCTGTCGACTGTGCCTCCTCTAGTGGCTCTCCGTTGTGTCCCGCCACATGGATCCGGGCCAGTCCTGCTAGAGTGAGGATGCCCTCTTTGGTGGCTACGGGTCCAAGTACACGCTTGTCTCTGGACAGGATGCGCAGGGTCTCCAGGCAGGTGCTTTGGCAAAGTGGATGATCTGAACGACGGAGGACTGTAAGTAGACCCTGACACAATTTCTGCAGAAGGGACCACAAAGCACAAGAGGTCGTTGATTGTTTTAAATAAAACAAGGTACTGAAATGACAAGGAACATACCAAATTGAGATCGTTTTGAAATACAAAACAAAACAAACCATAAATCTGTTACTCACAATTCGTGCATCCTCCTCTTTGTGGTCAAAGGCAAACGTGTGGCTGTTCTGAAATGAAATGTCAACATGACATGAGACAATATAAATCTGAGATAAACAGATCCCACGCTTGGATCCGTCTCAAACCATAAAGAAGCCTGGTCTAAGCTGGTCGATCATCTATGATGTTCCATAAACCATCTTGGCCACTTTAAGGAAAGCCATTACAGGCAAAATCATTGTTTTCATGCAGTGGTCAATTTCTGGCTTTCTTTTTTTGTTTTGCTTCCTTGTCTGCTTTCAGAATACTAAAAAAGAAAACATCCAAGATACACATTTACTGTACCTGTTTACATTATCTATTATATTTTTTAATATTATATTATTTTTATTATATATATATATATCTTTTTTTTTTTTCATGCACTGACTCAGAATTCACCACTTCAATAGCAATTACATACACAAAATTTCCTACTGTAAATATATTAAAACTTAATTTTTGATTAGTAATATGCATTGCTAAGAACTTCATTTGGACTACTTTAAAGGTGATTTTCTCAATTTTTTTTATTTTTTTGCACCCTCAGATTTTAGAATTTCAAATAGTTGTATCTCGGCCAAAAATTTGATGTATAAATCTCAATTTCGAAATATTGACCCCGGCTTTCTGACAAGATGCGCGTTAAATATCGCATGCGATTAATCGTGCAGCCCTAATCTCGACATAGCAATATTTTTCCCAAATTCTATCCTATTAACGTGGTACTTTCCTTAAACTGATATTGATTGTCCATGACGAATTTCATTATAATTAGATGAATCACAGTACCAGTCTCTTTCTGCAGTGCAAACTGTTAACTACAACTTAACTAACAGTGGTTGACTTTACAAAAGGCTGTTCTTATAGGAGTAGGTAAAGGAAAATCCTGTACTCTTGAGATTTTCTACAGAAAAACATGCAGCGTCATTAAAATGAAAAAGCAAACGCCAAATATGAGGTTAAAATTTCTGTTCACATCAGAAGAATCCATACAGACACGTTTCGTTGATAAACCTGTTAGAACAACATTATTTCCAATAGTATTTTTCTGCTTTTACGCATCTGACAGCTGTCAAACTTGGCTATTTTGCCTTTCACAACTATTAACATCCAAAACAACAGCCCATTTCTACTCTATTCGTTTGAAATTACCATTTTTCTTAAAAGATTTCACACACTGCTCATTCATGGGAGCAACATTTGGCATTTTTGTTTAAAAACAGTGAAGTTGGGTGTATCATATTGCTATCATGGCTGGCTAACAGCTGGAGGATGCTAGTTTACGATCCCAAGGCGAATGCCTCGTGTTTTTAACCACTAAATACAAAGCAGGTACATATTTAAGGTTCAGGAGCAAAGCATTTTTGCACTGAGATCATCAATCTTTTTGTAGGTTCATACACACACCGGGAAACTTATATTGAGATTAACGGGCGGCTAACTCGCTAATATCTCCAATGCTAGCGCGCAATAAAACAACATGAGATGGTAAGCTAACAGTAGCCTCTTTACCTCTATGTTATACTTCTGCAAAAGCTTTTCAGCTCCCTTGTCATCTCCACCGTCGATCACTGACAGAATAGCAGTCAGACTCATCTCTGAATGTTGCTTTTGCCGTCCACTAACAAACACTGGCAGCCCTTCTTCTTACAACAACAGTAAGGATGAGAGGTACACACACCTCCTGTTTCTCTCATCTGTTCAACTTTAACCCGTCAAACGTCACGTTTCTCGACAACACGCTTTTACAAGAGTCCCTCGGGCACATGGCAAATATTTCGTCAAACCTGCTTATTCCTGATTTACAACACATTCACCCCTAAAACTTTTTTTTTTCTTTTTCTAGCTGTTGACAGTATTATCTGATGTATGGAGTGATAAAAAGATATATCATAAACATCTGTAAAAGGCTTTGACAAAATGAAACAATTTTATATCTGGATTTATCCAATACTCAGATCTGTGCTCTGGAAATGCACGCAAATTAGTTTATAGATAATGCCTTGTTTGCATATTTAAACATGACATTTTAGCAAAGCTGTAATATTTTTGATATCGTTAATGTAAGTAATCAAACACTGGCAGCCCTTCTTCTTATAACAACAGTAAGGATGAGAGGTACACACACCTCCTGTTTCTCTCATCTGTTCAACTTTAACCCGTCAAACGTCGTTTCTCGACAACACGCTTTTACAAGAGTCCCTCGGGCACATGGCAAATATTTCGTCAAACCTGCCTGGATGGTATCCAAATTCACCAGGCCGATTAAGTGGACGATTTATGGTGGCAGAACAGCAAAATTCCCATCCTGCTGGGAAATCTTATTTAAGATGGTAGCTGGTGGTTTGTTGATGGTCATTAGCTTCTGCAAGCTGACCAGCAACAACAAACCTGCTACCAACTGGGAAAACTATTGACCAGCAACTATCCTCCCAAAACACAGATGGACTTTTCAACAGAAAATAATAGATGCAATAGCTATTGCTTTATGTTTAGGTTCATCTTTTGTAAATCACTTTGGAAAATGCCTGCAAAATGTAAATGTTTTTCTGAGCCAGCCTTTAAAACTACTTATATATTATCTGCAATAATGAGTTACATCTTGTGCATCGTCTTCATTAAAGAGCACAGAAGGATTTATCTGAAGGTTTGCATGCATACTTCTTGCCAAATACGCCTATCAAACTCTGACTTTCAGTTTTCTTTTTATGCTACATTTCATTAAAGTGCCCTTTTCAATGCATACTTGAGAGGTGTAAGGTCTTTTTTAGAGTGCAAGGTGGAAATGGTAATGCACAAATAAATAAATATTCATATTTAAAGTCAAATTATCAGTGTGTGACCATTTAAAAAGTAATTGAGTGCATTAATCTGATTTATTAGACTTTATTTATCAGTGCTGGTTTAACAATTTAAACAATTCTGCATTGTAACAAGTTCAATATTGATTAGCTCAATACCTGTCAATACTTTATAGCTTTATATATAGCAATATATATGTACAATGAAATTCTTAATATGTATATTCCAAACATATAGACATTCAAACACAAATAATAAGAAGATATAATATGAACTGGGTTTTAAAAAATCTTTATGTGGCACAAATAAATCCACATATCTCATTTACATGGTAACAGCTGTCACCACAGAAGTTACCGAGTGCTTTTATTTACAAGAGAAAGTGACTAAAGATGATAAATGTTACATTTTCATATTCTTTCCTTTTTATTCCTACCCATAGGGTAATAGGTCCACAGTACCTTTGAGTGCATTCAAGAACACACAAACCTAGGTTAACACTTTTCGGCTCCTAAAATTACACAAAACTGGATATACATTTCAAACACAGATAAACAATGCAAAGGGACACAATGTTACAAAGCTACAGAAACGATTTCTAATATTCCCCCTGCCTCGCACTGGGGTAATTCTGCATTTGTGTAAAATGAGAAATCTTACTTTCACATTCGCATGCAATAAGTACTGACATGAGTGGCCCTTATTTGTTTGAACTCCTATGACGTACGTATTCTGGCAGCTGACCAAGAAGGCGTTCTAAGATAAAATATTAAGGCATTTCTTCCTGTTGCTGAGAATGTGTCATGTTTATGCAAGGAAAGTAGCACACTTTGATGCTGACAAAAGCAAACCCAATGTGGTGTTGTTAACATCACTGTTTGACGTCAAACACCCAGTCTGTGGTAACAGAACACCGTGAGCTGCGTACATATTTATGTTGAAACGAGGTCAGCAATCAAAGTTTTTGCTCAGTAAATGAGTGAGTGGCCTATAATGCTCATGAGAGATAAATGATAAACAGGCAGGGAAAGGCACAACTGGGACACTGCCTTTTTTGCACTCTTACAATGATTGCGTTTTTGAAAAGAGTTTAATTGGCAGCTTGCACTGTAAACACTGACCACACCAATACAAACATCTCTGACACAATGTCATTCCCACTCAAATACATTCTCTGGAATTATGTTAAATATGGGCTGCCGCTGGTTTATCTGTCCAGTTTTGCGCACAGCTTTGCACACGCAGACATTGCCTCTTGGAAAGAGACTCTCAGAAGGGTACAATCATTTTGCCCACCCAGTCGTGGCCTCCCCGTTAATATAGGCGAATCCTGGAAAATGTTGCGAATGCTCATATTCAGAGTTCCTGCGTGGGGCGAGAGGGGAGTACATGTCTCCGGTGGAGTAGCGTGAAGTGTGGACAGCGGGGCTGGAGTAACAGCTGTTGGCCGAGGGCACATCCGGCCATCGGGGGGTCACCGCACTCGAGTGTAGAAGCGGAGACCCACTCATCAAACAGGACTCCATTCTGGACATCTGTGGATACTATAAAACAGGGAGACATGCATGAGGACTATTGCAAAATATCAGAGAAGTGGCTCATATGGTGCATTTTCTAAGCAAATCTCATCTTCTTTCTTCATGTTGATAAAGCCATAGGCCATTTTTTTGAGGCCATGCATAAAGAGTGTTTTTGCAATGCAAAGTAGAGTGCCTAAAACACCCTTAACCACAGACAAATTACTGTATCAATACAATTAATAATAATATAACAACAAAAATTTTGATATTTCAATAAAATTATTTTAATAATATTATTAATAATAATGACAATAACAGTAATAAAAAAATACCAAATAAATTATACATTAAAAGTAGCAGTAATATGCCATTTCTTTATTTTTGATTTATGATATAATAATAACAATCAACAAAAATATTAACAATAATAATAATTATAATATAATGAATATTATTATTAGTAGTAGTATGGTATCGCTTTATTTTTAATTTATGATATATAACAATTGGAAGACAAAGAATAATAATATAATTTCAATTACTATTGTTGTTGTTGTTGTTTATCTTTTGCCATTATATCAATTCAAAAATAAAGAAATGCCATACTACTATAACTACTACTACTACTAATTATTATCATTATTATTATTATTGTTTGTTATTTTTGCTGTTATTAATAATAATAATAATACTAATAAGCATATATTATTATTTAGTCCTGACAGGACCAACTGACTAAACAGGACAAATTCCCTTGTTATACTGTAATTAAACAAATAAATAAAACTGAAAAATGTACTGGTAATTTTCTGCCAGGACATTATCCATTAACTTTACAGACATTTTAGTTAAAAAATTCCTTTTATACACTCTGCCCTATTTTTTTATTTATTTATTTTTTTTACAGTGTATGCATTCAGTCAAATTTTTTGGCTTTTTATTACTGATAAAATAATGATGCAAGACTATCTAACAATTTTCTAACTAGAAGTGCCAAACAATTTAACATAATTTGAACATCTGTTCTGCATGCACAACAGAAAAAGGCCTTTTAAGGTAACATTGCACTTTTTCTAAAAAGACCCCCAGAAAGGTATTTTTGTTTCCGTGTGTAACAGACCAAAAACAAAACTGGGCATGTCAGCTCAATATATGTGTCTATATGAAACACTGTTCTCTCAGGGGAAGTCAGCATAATCTTCATTTGTCTCCTCTCCATTGCCTCCTTCAGAGTAGCCCTCTCAAACAAAGCACGGACATTGTATCCATTTTAAGTTGACGGAAAATAAGTGGAAGTAAAAATCTATAAGTGCTCTCTAAATAGAAACCGTCTACAGTCAGAGCCTTTATGAACGGCTGCGGAATGGAAAAAAGTCAGGCGGGGTCAGAGACCGAGATGTGTTGTTTGGTGACCTTTCGTTCATGCAGAGAAAAGAGACCATTGAATAACAATATTTTAATAAACACTTTTCCATCTGGATCTCCGGCTGCTAGTTGTGCTGTCTGAGGCAGTCATTGAGTAGACACTGAGTGTGTGTGTATGGGGGGGGGGTGTCTCTTGGCTCTAGCCGGTCCACCTTTCAGAGTCTGCATCCGCTCTGTGGAGGAGAATTCAGCACCACTGCTTCTGAAACTCTGAGGCCCAGCTGATCCCCCATTACAAAGGCAGGCTGGGCCAGAGAGCTCTTAACAGGAAATTACCATCACACCCGCTTTGACTTTCAATATATGTGACGCAGACCCCTGCCTCTCCATCCACAACCGAACAGTTTAATTCAACTGTTCACGCTCTCTCTATCTCAAGGACTATACAGACTACTTTGCATTCAACTACTCACTCAGTTTCTGAGCTAGTAGCATGCAGCATGAACATTTTGTATACACCTGCATACTAAAATGAACATTTCACACACTGAAAAACCATCATGCTTGTCCACAATTCAGTAAACCAATGCAAATATTTCTGTATCTCCTCCTAGAGCTTTCAGGCAACATCCACCAAACTTGGCAAAAATAAACATTTAAAAAAAAAAATCTGTTATCTAGAAACAAGAAAACTCTAGCGACCACATAGCTTTCAAACTTGAACTCTCTTGAAGCTAAACAATTATTCAAACTACATACTGTTTGAACTTAAAATACATAATACTCACATCCTTCAAATTTCAAATATTCCAAGTACTACGTAAACCCTATATTTACCTTGTCAAGGGAATTTGAACTTCTTAACAAGGCTTTTTCCAAGCCAGCATTCAGTTTTCTCAAATCTGCATGGAAAATGTTGCTTTGGGTGATTCATACTAAAGTAATGGCAGCATTTTGAGATTTAGCAAGTGCTTTTACAATAAACTTTAACCCTAGAGTTCTCTAGAGGTTTAACAAAGACAATTAACTGAGCTTTTTCATCTTTGTTCTCATTCAGAAGTGAACATGCTTTAAAT